CAGCAAGACTTCAAACAATGCGCACTATGCGAACACATAGCTTGTTTTCGTGTTCTGACTTACTATGCGAACACATAGCCGGTTTTCGTGTTCTAACTTTCCCGTACCTCTACCGCGCCGTTTTGGGAGCCTGTGGCTTCAAGATACCCAGAACATCTAAAACTTGTGTTTTGCCGTTGTTGCGTCTTTGTCTTGTTTTCCTGGGCCTGCTTCCTTGGCCCCCTGGGCTTTTTTTCAAGGGCCTGGAGCCTCGGAATGCAAAATAATGCAACATGAAGTGTGTTTTGTGTATTTTCTTTGCGTTCTTGGGTTCCTGAGCCTCCTAGCCTAGCGTCAGCTGGGGCGCAGAAAGCAGCAACTTCCTTCAAACGCAGAAATTCAAAATTAATACAAACATGTATAATTAACCAGAATGGTTCTGTAGCTCGAATGATCTTGAAGATAATTGGTCTGAAATATTTCCAACTTCCCTGCCCAGGCACAAGCTCCACAAATAAAGGCACCGCTGGCCAGGAGGACAAAGGAGAAAAGTGATGCCTCTCATATTGGGGGCCCCTTACATACACGTTTATACTACAATACAATCCTTACGACGGGGAATTCCAAAAAGCAATCCTAAATTTTGCGAACCTACCGCCATCTGTAGCCGCGTAGCAATCATGCCGTAGCAATATAGCAATTCAAATTCTTCTCCTATCCAAGCATTGCCTTTTCCAGGAGCTGCAGGCCAGTCCCCGAAGATTCCCAAAGTTCCTAACATCTCTTCCACCTTAGTAATGCCTGGTGTTGAATGAAGCCAACTATTGCGTGCGAAAGCTCATTTGCGGCTGGTTTGCATTGAATACCTCTTGAGCCTCGTGTATGAACCATCAGTTTATTGGAGCCATTGCAAGGTGTGCACATATTATAAGCAAATCCTGCGCATGCACGGTGCCTCTGGCCTCCCCAATGCCTTGCATCTCCTGAGAGAGGCTGAGTATCACACCTGCAAAGGTCCAAGCAAACGACGCATGACGGGGTCGGCCCAAGTTCTAAAGGACACTCCAGCCTGTAAGAGCCAAACATGGTGGTCCGACTACATGGACCATGCTCTTCCAGGACTCGTTCCTCAGCACGTCTCTAAGAGGCCCTGGAGCAGTATGGTGTCAAAAGATGATACCTAGACCTAGACCTTCAGTAGGCTGCTTTTGTTTGCCCCCAAGGAGCTGGGCTTTCTTTGTGCCAACGTCTGCGAGCCTTGGCCAAAACGTGCCCCTTCTTGGAAGCCAGCTTGGCAGCTTGGCAATTCTGTCAATTTCTGCTGAGGTGCACGGCTGCGCCGAGCTCTCCGGACACTACCAGCACCTTCGAATTTCATCGGGCAGCGGAGCACAGGCCGCAAACATCATGGCAATATTAGGCAATATTCATGAAAGCCAGTACCCCAAGTCCACCTGATAAGGCTCTAGTGGAAGGCAAGCTTTTAAGGTTTTTCTTTGATGTGGCATGAAGCAGCCAGCATGGCATCTCTGCCTGACCAAGAGCAGCGCCTAAGCGTCCTCAAGCCCGAAGGTGCGAATTCATTGCGCTTGTGCTGTGATCAATTCCAAATCAAAGCTGTGTTGGGCTTATTCTGAGGAAATGTCTTGCTACTGGAGTTGCTTATACTGTCCTTACCATGTCGGCTTGCTTTCCCTCGGCCTGTTCTCTCTCATGGTACATGCAGCAGGTGCTGGCTGTCCTGCGGCTGCCACCATGAAGAGCGTAGAAGTCCAACCCAAGCCCGCCTCTGTGCTTGGCTTGCCGCCGAAAGCTTTCACCGAATCACCGTGTCATGTTAGTGCCACTATGTTCAACATGCAAATGCACGCACCTGTGCTGCAAGCGAGCGGCAATCCAAGCTGGCTTCCAAATGACCTGTCGCCTCAGTGTACTTGAGCTCAGGCCTGCTTTTGAAGGCTGTCGGACTATGAAAATCACGCATGGAGCAGGGAGTAATTAAAACATAACACCCCGAGGCTGGTTTGATCTGCAGCCTATCTTGCGGATGAGCGTCGCTTTGTCAATCAGGTCCACGGGCCGCAGCTTGGTCCAAATATTTACCTGAGCCACTGAAACTGGAAAACTCGGCTCCTCGTGCGATTCGCCCCAGCTTGACGCTGATTGATGCTGGGTTTGCTCCCGACTCAGCCAAAATGCAACTGTTGCGGCACTCAGCAACATGGCCCATGCGAGGATGTGAGATATGGCAGCAGTGAACACCGCGCTTCCATGGCGCTGCACCAGATTTGCATTTGCCACAACCCTTAGCGCATGCAATGTGCAGCAAATGTGTGCCAACACCAACACCATGTTTAGCTCACGACCAAGCCGTGCTTGTCCAGCCTTGTGACATTCTGATGTTGGCATGATGGCACTCTCCAACTTGTCTTGCGCGCACCTTGTGCAACGGCGCAAGCGGCCAAGCACCATTCCATTGGCTGCCGCGACCTGCGAGGGTTTGACTGGCTTAGCCGACAAAGCTCCGGCCTTGATGCTTGTTGATGAGCATCCTTCTCATGAACAGCCCTTGGCTGCTCATGTAAACATGTAAACTTGCACACTAGCCGCCTGCGCAGCTGCCATGGAACAGCGGGTGGGATCAATTGTTGCTAGCGATAAAGGACATTAGCTCAGCGACCTGTTTGTTTCACACGGTTCCCCATATTTGATGTGAAAGCTCTGATGGTGAGGCATGATAAAGTACTGCTGCTGGTACCTGGCTCTCAGCTGCAAGTCCATGTCAACAGCGTTCTCAGTTTTTGCAAACAGAAACTGTCCGCCTATCCCGAACCTGAAAGCCTGAAAGGACTACAGGTGTACGCTAGCATAGTATGCAGGATTGAATGAAAATCACGTGTCCCACATGAAAACTCCAGGAAGAAGCTGTTTATTGATGTGTGCTTTCAATTTGGCGGAGGCCTTCAATGAACAAGCGGTGTTCGCCTGCTTGAAGCTGCTGCATGCTGCTACCCGCGTAACCGCGAGCTAGAGCTTAAAACTCACGTGGGAGTGGCCGTTCTTCAGCTCTCGTTTGCCAGCCCGGTCACTTTGGAAGACTTGAAAGATGTGCTATGGACACAAGCACGAAAAGACCGTGGGCTGAAATTCAGATCTTCTTGACTATCCTGGCTTTCGCCGCGGATACACTACCAATCTAATGCGCGGCTTCCCGCTTTTGTAGGTTGCCCTGTCTAACCATAGTCATTGCACTTTGACAACTTGAGGTGGAGATCGTCGTTCACTGTCCGCAGCTGCTGCAACTCGTCCATGAGCCTCCACTAAGGACCGCTAATTCGTGTGTATTTCTGCTACTTCTGCTTCTCACCTCGCTGCACGGACTGTCAATTACTTGGAAGGTCCCGCTTCAACTCGCACAAGCCTCTACCCTCTCAACCAGCTCGCGACCCTACGCCTCTGCGCACGGGAGATCAACTCTGTTCGCTCTGTGTGGAGGATGGTGAGCTCATTCCGCAGGCGATCCTCACCCGCATAACATTCAACGCCCCTGCCCGCTTTGGCTTCTTGCCTTTCAGCCACAAGCGAGCGGACTGGCTAGAACATCTGTCGCCTCTGCCTCAGTTGGGCTCATCATCATCTCCATGGCGCGCTGGACAGAAGTCTCCTAAGAGCGCATCTCTCGCCCACAGCTCTCTGAATGGAGGCGATGCTGGGGCTGCCGCCAACTTCCCGTCTGCTATGGCATGTTGCAGCTGCTTTTGCAGATTGGCTCGGACTTGTTCAAGCCTTGAGCGGACCAGTTGGAACATGGTTTTGACAGCAGCGGTATTACTGACCTGTGATGCCAGGCAGGCAGGCCTCTTCGGATCCCGCGCTCTTGCCTTGCTAGAATTCCGGTGAAATCTGTTGCGCGATGGATTCTCCGAAAATCACATCTTGCAGCCAACCTTCTGTCATACCTTACGAGCCCTCCAGTAGGCGAACAAAAGCTGCCCCAACATCTTTCCAATCTTTACTTGAGCAGCATTTTTTTTATGCAAAGCAGGTGCTGGATGCGCAGCAGCCGGCTTCTCCGGGCGAGTTGGCCGCTCAGGAGACAACAATGGCGCCTGAGTAATCTGGTGGGTATCAAGCAGCTGACAAACTTCAGCCCCCTGTAGTTGCTTGCTGGGGCGCTGGATGCGACATGCCTGCACTATCTAGCCGTGGTCCAAGGGCGGCGGGCTGCTGCGAGTCTTCCACCGCAAAGCTGGAGGACTTGGCCGAGTCCTGCTGCTGTCAAATGTCGTCTGCGGACTGCGAAAGCTTCCAGTTACAGGAGCAAGGCAATGGCCTCTGTGCCGGTCGAAGCAACTTGGTCCTGAGACTTTTGGGTTCGAAGTAAAGAATGATCTACCAGCATCTTCAGGTCGTTGCTGGAGGATCCAGCTATGCTAATTAAAGTCCACCTCAGCCTGCTCTCTCTTGCATGCCATGTAGGCTCTCGCTCTTGAATCCCACATTTGTGACACCTTGTGATGACCCCGCTCTTGGACACAAAGCACTCCAAAGCTCTTGCAGCAACGTCACCTGTGGTGAGGGCACGCGGGTTTCAACTGGAGCTGCCTGGTTGTGCAGGGTTTCCTTGGGTTGGAGAGCTTACCATGGTGTGACCCCACATGCCACTTGCGGCTGCGATGCTCCAGGATCTGATGCAGCTTGCGGGACTGGTGTCCTAATGCCGGCAGCCTCAGCACATGGAAAGCCTTGCCTGCACTCCCTTGTCCCGAGAAAAACACAATAGAGCCTGCATCAAGTCAAAAGCTCGCTTCAAGCGTTAAGCTGCGTTGCTCTTGTAGCGTAATTTGTATCCTGCGGCTGCCTATGCAACATTTGACTCTGCCGCGCAGCTGCTTGTCCGGGATCGCTATGAACTTCCGGAGCCTGCAATCCAAAGGCATGATGAATCTGAATAGCAGGGTTTGAATACGCGAATCGGCAAGCCCCTGACCTCCTCAAATGGCCTGGCAAGACTGGCTGGGTCAACATACATGGTGCTGAAGACCGTGCACGGTACCTCTGAGCTTCTGAGCATGTGTGGGCTGATGTCAACTGCTCCACCATATAAGCGAACGGATCCTAAGGGCTTGCCATGCTGCGAGTTATCTGGGGTAGATATCCGATGAAATCATCACACAGAAAGTCTCTCATGGCTGTAACTTCTTGTTCCAAGCATCCTCTGGTTTTGCCTGGATCACTGCATGGAGCAGCGACTGCATGTAAGGCAACAGCTGGTGTCTTTCCAGATACTCCTGGCACCGTGTTAAAAGGAATTCTGCGACTAATCGGCGAAACGCATCTGCTTTTGACTCTGGCTCTCCTTCGCTGAAGCCGCTGCATCCTACAGGGTTGCAAGACACCGCTGTGCAGTCTGTTTGAACAGTGTGCGAAAGTTAGTGTGCATCGCGCTGTTGGACAGCTCCTTGAAGCCTGGCATGCCGGGTGCTTTGTTGGCATCGGTGCCTTTACCTGCTCATGCTCGCTGTGAAGAAAGTGCAGGCTGTGAAGAAAGTGCAGGTTAACATGAAAACCACTTCTGCACGCAGGACGTGCAATTCTGCCATGTTCAAGTGACGCAACTGGCCTGTCCCTGCAGCTTTGACAAGGGAAGGCTTCACTGATATTCGGACGGCCCCGTCCTTAAAAGGCACTGCTTGCAGTAGACTTCATACACCCTGAACAGGGCGGTGCTTAACGCAGAAGAAACCTGATGCATGCCACGTTTCGGCCGAACCTTCCAGCGGAACCGTGTACTGGGTTTCCTGCCAGCTCCGTGGAAGTTTGCAAGAACGAAAGGATGGCCTCAAATTTCCTGAACATCTCAAACTCCCTAGGCTAGGGCCGTGTTTGCCGCGCAGCTCTTGCGCATGATTCAGGTTGATGTCCTGTGACCGCAAGACAATCCGAGCGGTGGATATGGGTCGAAGCACGTCGAGGCGAAGAGGCTCACCTGAGCTTAGTCGCTCACTGCCGCGGGACTCAAGCACTGCCGCTACACCATCCCATGCTGCCCAAGCGCTTGCATCTTCCAGGAGCGTTGAAAACCGCAATGCATGCAAAAGTGCACTCCTTAGCCATTGAGATTCTGCGCACAACTTCCACTAGACACAGGCAGAGATTCTCATTTCCAGCTCTTTCATGCAATTGACGTGAGAACGGCTACGCATTGGACTTTGTATCTTTGAAGGCAAAGCTGCTCTAAGGGCGCCTGTCTTCGGGTACCGCCCAAACGCAGTGAAAGCACCTAAGTTGAGTGTGTCGAAAATCAGAAGATGCAGACGCACTTCAGTAGCAAAGCGTCTGGTGAGACTAAGCTACAACATGCACATTGATCTGGGAGTGGCGCCGCATTCGCGGGGAGACCTTTAGCTGCCTCAACGCGAACCTCACATGCCAACCAAATCATACAGTCTCATTGAATGGATGCTTCAGGCCTCCATACCTCATGGCCATGCCATGGCAGGCACGGCTAGTGCTTGGTTGGGCTTGTGCGGGTGTTGTCTGCTGGATCTGCGAGCCTGCTTGGAACCTTGAAGGGGTCCCCCCACCCCTTCCTCACAGCTCAGCTCTTAAGTGTTTCACATCATGTTTTCAGGTCACCTTCAAGGAAGCTTGACCATGAAGCCGGCACAGGCTCTTCACACAAGCAGTTTGTGGCTCAGCTCTCACAATGCGCAATGGCTCCGCAGTGGCAGAGAGCAGCTGGCTCTTTGGAACAACTCGAACCATGGCAAATCGGTGGCGAACCAGTGTGGGTCACACTCGCCTCATCCATGAGGTATGCGACAACAAGTGATAGCTTGCTTATGTTGCAATTTCTGAACCAGTCTCGTCAAGTGTCAATGCTATCCTGAATCTCGCAATGCAATTGAGGATGGCTGTGCTTGTTGCAAAGGCCCGGACAAAGCAGCGGCGTACCTTGCTTGATACGTTTGCTTGACTTTTCCTCTCAATTTTCATCGGATATGCTTACACAGTGAAGGCTGCCGTTTCTACTCTTGGCATCTGTGCATAGCCTGCATCCTTCGGCCTCTTCCCACTTCCAATGGCAAGCTAAGATTCTGTAAGCCGCTGCCCAAGGTGAGCCCTGCAGCAAGCCATAGAAGAACCAGGCTTCCTATTCATGGATTGGACAGCGGATAGGCTCCACTCCTTCTAGATTAAGGCATTCACGCGCGCCATGTCTCCCCGAGCCTTTGTAGAGCACAGGGCCCCAAGCCTGCAGAACATGCATTTCTTCTTCGTGAGGTCAACAAATGATGCGCATGTGAGAACGCTTGTGAATGAAAGGCCTGGGCATCTGTCTTGTTTTTGGTCTCGTAGTCACCTTGCTTTAGTATGCAGTCTTCTGAGCTTTTCAACGGACAACTTGCTGTGAATGTAACGGGTCATGCTAGGATCTTTGATTTGCAAAAGTGCTTTTGCTGCTAGTTGTGGGTACCTCAGCCAAGCTTCTCAACGCTATGCCTGCCAGCAAGCCTTGGCTCTCCAGCAGCAGTGGACAAGGGTCGATGCTTCGGGCGGCTTGCAAAACCAAAAGCTACCACCAGGCGTCAGGGCAACCTTGCAGCGCGAGCAACTGCGCAGCTGCTTTCGCCTTGCCTGACTTGGTGCTGGCGTATGTCGCAAAAGTTGGACCCGAAGCCCAGTCGGGTGTCTCTAAACATGCTTGTCAGACTTCAATAATTTCATAACTACCCGCACGGTCCTCACATGTGCGAGGCGTTCAATTTCTTTAGCTTCGCACCCCCATTCTCGCATGACCGTGGTATTGCTGCTTCAACTGGCTGTGTGGTGCTTGCCTTTGTGTTCTGGGGCAGTCACGGCTCCTACCAAGTGCTTTTTGCTGTTGCGAGCGAGGCACCGTGCCAGGCAACTGAGAGGCTGCCAGCGGCCTCACGTGCAGCTTCGTACAAAACCGAAAACGGAAATAGATGCAGAAGCTCTTGGCATGACCGAGTACATGCAGTCAAACGTGGGGGTTGCCTCAGGCCGATAGGTCTGAGTCCACTCGCGCATTGTGGAGACCCCAAGCTCGCGTGCGAGGATCGCCACTGCTGGCACTGACACCTTGCAGAATAAAGAGCAATTTCTTCATCAGTCCCGCACTTCATAACAAGAGCGCCGGCGAAATGAGTGTATAACAAATCCAGAAGTTCAAGCCCATTCGCGTCATGTGTGGCAGTCATGCAACTGCCCCTCTGCACAGAGCCCAGCTCAAGCAAATTGCGCTGGCAAGTGGCAATTGGGCTTGCGGCGTGCTCCACTAGAAGAACCAATGTGGAAGAGACCAGGAGCTTGTCCTGCAACCCCGGATTCAGCAAGTAACATCCAAGCCCGGCAAAGGAACGGAGCCCGACTTGGAAGCACCATCGCATGTGCAACCAGGACCTGACCACTTGATCGGGAACCCTAGACCCGCGGCGCACCGCCACGCTGGGTTTAGGGTTTCACCCACGCTCCAACCAAACATCTCCCATACGTCATGAGCCGTCAAAATCCCAATAATGTTTTTTAAATTGGGCCATAAGTCCCGGTCATATTTCGGCTGCAAGTACTGCAAAATTCAAGTAGAAACTGGTCACTGTCCGCCAAAGGATCGAGTAGAGCTCCCAGGGAGGTTTGCTGCTGCCACCGTCTGGCGAGAAATCCGTCAAACCAATCCTCGCGTCACTGGACATCGCTACTTCTAACTGGATCCAGCATTCGAATAGAGCTCTATGCACAGCTGTGACTGGGAAGCGTCGGTTATGGCAGCGGTGCCAAAAAGAGCCGCTGCCGCAGTAGGAAGTTCCAGGTACCTGGACAGTACCAGGAACACCATCTTTGGCGATGGTATACTTCGGCGGCAGCTGAGCCAGGGGCCAAGTTCCAAGGATGCCCGGGACAGCGACCAGCCGTAGAGCCGTCAACGCATTTGGCACTGTCCGCCACTCCTTTATCACTGCCCGGAGACTTTGTGGCAACTTCTGGCATGAAGAATAAGCACGCTTCTCCACAACCTACACGGGTAGCTGAACCTAACATCGTCTAACTCATTAACGGATCGATGCGTCATTATCCAAGACGATCGTACGCAGCTAGTGGCGAAATGCCGCTGCTAAGCCCTGCCGGTGGGCAAAGGCGAGGACCCACATAAATGGCTGATTGCGGACCATGACCCTCATTGTTTTTGTTATTTTGGCACGACCTTCCAGACTGGAAAAGGGTAGCACAATTCGGAAGTCATCTTTCTTTCAACGGTATAACTTCAATACCACAAGTGCGATAACGCTGAAGCGTGTTCGTCCTCCGCTTTGTTCGTGGTGCTGGATAACGTGCGGCACCGAACCAGGCATTCTTGGCTTCTCTGCTGCTGAGCCAGCTTGCCTGCGCGACACAGGCGGAAGCCCCAGAGATGAACCCATGAATTTGTCCGAGTACTCCCTGCCGAATCTGATTGACAACTGGCCTACAAGTTGTAGCATCAAATCGTGCATTGTGGCAGCATCCTCTGCAGAAGACCCGCCGCACCTCCCGCTGAGGCTGCCCAAGCTGGAAGGTGTGAGCTGCAAGAAACTGCCCGAGCTGCTCGAAATGTCCATAGCGCGGTCTTTGCCATCAATGCTGAGAAATGCTGAGAACACTTGACTTGCTTGACGGAAAAGAAAGGATTAGCAATATCCAGACATTTCCACGGTCAAAGTTTTTTTTGCTCATCATCTAGGTGAATCTAGGTCTGAACGGGTGGACCAAGCTGGCTGAGGTGCCATGCGGTTCGTCTTGCATGTACCGATCATGCAGCCATTGCTATTACCTGGCTTGTTTTTCCTCTCAGCTCTTTGTGGCTAGCGTCAGGATGCACGGCATCTGGAGACGGCAAGGCTGGTCGGGGCCACCTCGCTTTGCCTCGGTTCCCTTGGTCACGGCCACCTCGATGGCTTGTAACTGCTCCGAAGTCTGACCTGCCAGCAGCGCGGCTGTGCGTCCTGTGCCATCACGGAAAGCCACAAAAGTCTCCCTCGCATCCTGAACCTCCCAACACATTGAAATCTCTTTGGATACAACTTGCCCAAATCCTGCCGCGGCCAGTGTCTGAGCGGTGTCTGTCGCATCAGCAAAACGAAAGAAGGGAGGAGCCTCAGGCAGAGGAACGTTCGGGTTGCCATGGTCCTGAACAGCCGCATGCACCAGTGCGAGTGCCTCTGTGGATGGAGTGGGTGACCAAACTGTGAAGCCCAAACGCCCACCAGGACGCAGAATGCGCAATGCCTCGGCAAAGAATGCCTCTGGCTCGGGCAAGTGCAGCACACCGAAGCTGCATGCCACAGCATCAAAACTCTCTGACTCGAACGGCATAGCTGCCGCATCTGCTTCTACACATTGAACAACATCTGAACCCAAAGAATGTGAAAGGCGCTCCCGTGCGAGTTCCAGCATGTTCTGCGCAAAATCTACGGCCACAACATCTGCACCAGCTTTTGCGGCTTCCTCTGCAACGAACCCGGGTCCAGTTGCCACGTCCACAAGTCTGCAACTCTTCTGGCAACCAACACCTGCCAACAAATCTGGGATACACTGCCGAGTTAACGCTCCCCATCCTTTGTCGTACGCGCGCACAGCCTTCTGCCAGTTACGATGCTCAAGCTCAGCAAATGCGGAGGTGCTGACAGGAGCCAGCCTGGACTTTAAAGAGCCCACAGGAATTCTGACCAGCCGACGAAGGCCAGCTGCCATTGCGGATGGCCTGACTCTGCCGGAGGCAGAGCTCCAAACGCACAAATTCGTTATCACATGTGGTCCCGGGCTGGCTTGGAACCAAGAGGTTCGGCAACATCCTCGTCCTCGTAGGGGAGAAAAGAAAGCTCTGGCAAATCAGACAAGGGTAGGTCCAAGCAAAAAGTTGCAGATTTCCTTTGCAGCAACAAGCCTTTGTCAAAGCAGTGTGAAACATGCACGGGCCGGGAAACATGAAATGAGCAACACTGCATCACCACAACTGCTATGCCAGCTATGGGCTAGCCGTACCGCGAGCCAGCAATGAAGAAGGTAGAGAAATGCTGTTTTGATGCGTGGGCACATGCCCTGCAAATGCAAACTTGTTGTAAAAGTACGGTGTGGACTGCCCGTCGCATTTGCCAGCATCCGTGTGATGCAGCCATGCAACTTTGTGATACCGTTAAGGCTTGGTTGCTTGAGCTGCGGGGTCCAAGTGACCTTCCCATTAGAGGTTAAGGTCTTTCCTTGAAATGCCCCCGCAGTCTAACTTTGGCAACCTAAGCCGATCTCGCTAGCGCAAACATGGGAGGACTCTAAAACTTCTGTGCCTGAGGCTGTTCTCCTCAGAGCTCCAGCCAGGCCGGGTACGCGTGTGTCATCGCACTGTGCCCTGCGCCCATGTGCACTCTCCCTCTCTTTGCTTTGCTTTGTGATGCCGGGGATTAGGGCAAGCCGGCAAGCCCCTGATTCTCTCTTGCTCTTGCTGGGGCTGATCTACCAAGGCAGGTCACGCTTACACTGAATGCTTGGACAGGCAAACCGCTCTGCTCCGAAGTCCCAGCCTTAGAGCCTCTCTGGGAGAGCCGCTCCTCAACTGCAGCCACTCGTGCGATCCTTGGATTTGTAAGCATGTCTTGCAAATGGTATCTTCTGGTGGCTTCGATGTCCTCGTCAAGGACGGGGCTCACGAGAATGAGTTCGGCATGACTGCGTGCATCCGAGGCATTTATCTTTACTCCTACATCTATGCTGTCGGATGAGTCTCATTTCCGCTTGCTCATCTTCCAGGCGCTGTAACAAGTCATCACGCTCCTGCAGGGTCACGGAGATTACGCTGTGCTCTGTGAAAAGAGTTGTCAACCCCGAATGCATGTTTAGCTAGACAGACCCCCACAGACTTGCCGGTAGTGGCTCTGAAAACTGGCGGCTGCGCAAGTCCTTGGCAACTGCAGCATGCTCCTCCCGGAGCGAAGCCATCTGCTTCTGCAGAGATTTGACATCGTCCTGGTGCTGAATCTCAAGGAGCTTTGAACCGCGCAGGCGCATGTGCTAATCATATGAGCGTGGCAGCCATCAGCACAACTTGAGCTCTTGGTTTTTTTCGTCAATCTACAGGCGAGTTCCCGCGCGAAAATAACGGTTGCGGCGTAGCTTGGAGGCAACCTCGGCAGGGCTGAGATGCTCGCTATGCGTTCGTGTCAGCGCATGCTGGTGCATAAGCTCCTGGTTCGTTTGGGCCGTCTCAAAACCTGGAATTCCGCCCATGTAGTGCGACTCCACATTTCTTCCCGCTTCAAGACGTTCAGACACCACCGCCATCATTTTGGCAGGATCAAGACCCACAAACTTAGATGCTTGCTCGATAAAGTGTAAAGCTTCGTACTTCGAAGAAATTCCGAGGTGTATCAGCTTAGTTCGGATGTCAGAGTCATCGTCCATGTCCTCCTCAAGGCCGAAAGGCCCGCCATCACAATAGCGATGCATGGCCTTTACCAGTGGACTTTCAATCGCAACTTGATCTGCAACCACACCTGTCTCAGTGTCCTCCAGCGCACTTGACTCTGACCTTTGCCTTTCCAGGTGCAGTTTCGGCTCTCCAAGAATGCCGACCTTGCTGGCTGCGGCATGCATACGAAGTGTGGGACAGTAGGACAGGAAGGTGCCTGTCGAAAAGAACAATATGATGGACATTCCACAGCCTGCATAAATGCCGTTGGAAACACTGTAGGTGAAAGGTTGGAAAATGGCACACAAAAATGCTGGCAATGCATCCAGCATATTCCACCACTGAATTTCCCTGGCCTCGCCAGTCATGGAAACGCCCACCAGCACAAGAACTGGAGAGACTGCGCACTCCGGCACCGCTGAAGCGACAGGAGAGAGGATAAAAGCTGTTAGAAGCGAGTACAAGCCAATGACAATTGAGACAAGACCTGTGCGGCCGCCATCTCTTATGCCAGCTGCAGCAGACATGCTGACGAAAATGGGCGCCGTCCCTAGAAAAGCGGACAATATGGTGCCCAAACCACTGGAAACAAACACTGCAGTGCTACCTCGCACGCTGCCGTCTTCGGCAAGAAGGCCAGCCATCTTTGCACTTCCAATGATGGCACCACTAAGTGAGAAAAGCAACATGAGAAGCAACGAAGCCACTTCTGCCCAGGCCGTCTGCGTTCCCAGCACCCCGAAACTCAGCTCAAAGAAGTGCAATCCTTGCACTGAGACAAATCTTGTTGGCCAGTCATCTAGCATGTACCAGGCTGCCAGCGTTGCAGTCAGCATGCCGATGAGGACAGAACCAGTGACAGCATTATACAACAAAGATGCAGTGAATATCAGGGAGACCATGGAGATGAGACAGGGCAAGCTGTGCAGGTCGCCAAGGGCTACTATGTCCTGGCCCTTATCTGCCACAATGACACCAATGGATTTCAAGCCAATAAAAGCGGTCAATAAACCTGTGCCGACCAGAAGGCCATACTTGATGCTCAAGGGCATAAGCCCAAGAATCATCCGCAGCATGGGTGTAAGTGACAGCATCGCAAGAACCAAGCCACAGGCAGCTGAGATCCCAAGCGCTTCGTGGACCTCGAATAGGTGAGGCCCGACCAAGCTGTAAGCTATGTACACATTGGGCCCTACTGAAGGAACCATCCCCAGCGGAAGATTGCTGAGCAGTCCAGCAACTATACAAGTCACCCCAGCAGCAAATGCGCCGCTGACCAGCTGTCTCTCAGGGTCGAGCCCTGCGTGGCTCATGATGTGCGCGTTGACAACAAAGTTGTTTGCGGTAGCTAGGAAGGCCGTGGTCCCGGCGCGGAACTCCGTAGCCAATGTGCTTCCACGTCTTGAAACCGAGAAGTAGCGGTCAATCTCATCCACCCAAGCAGGGTTGTCATGTAATGGGGTCGTGGCCAAAAGCGGCGAGGAGGCCTGGTTTACCATGGCGGATGTCTGAATAAAAACAAAGAAATCATCAAGTGTCTCACCATGGTGCGGTGACCTCATGATCCATAGGTCAAAAAGCCAGTTCACAGTAAGCTAGGTTTTTGCATTGCGAGATCCGCGCGCCAAAGCCCTAGTTCTATCCTGATTCTCCTGCGACTGGTTTCTACAGTGTCGAGGGCTGAAGCCATCAACCATGCGCGGCAAATTGCATGTCGAAGCTCTTGCGCAGGTCTTGGGCTGAAAAAAAAAACATGCTTGCCTGGCTGCGTTCCAGGCGATGCGAAATATCCTAGCAGCAACATGAATGCAGACATCTAGCACTGTGCACACTAACGCCAGTTAGAAAGCAAGCTGCCAACCGTACCAGGTCCACAAGCGGATCTCATCATGCAAATAGGAGAAAACACAATCAGCAAGAGCTACTGGCAACTGGCACCTGCGCCAAGACAAAAAGGCGGCGCGGGCAAACCCAAACCCAGAATCATTACCCTGCAGGTGTCGAAACAATAAGCTGATCCGTTGCCTTCTGCTCTCTAAGCATCTGCCCAGTACACATCAGAGAGTGCAGCCGGGAGTGTTCGCAGCAATTTACACTTGTCTTCTGAAGAACGTGAACGTACTAGTAACGTAGAGTCACAGTCTCACCGGCTGCCAGCCTCGACCTCCTCGCGGCTCTGCTGCCGGGCCTGACCTTCAAAGGATCACAGGTGTTGGACAGCTTCGGCCACTGTGAGGGCCCTCTGTTTTTACAGCCCAAAACAAGTTGGCCTGACACGGGTCGTCTGTGATACAATATGACACCATATGAAGCCGATGGTCGCATTTTGCCCAGGAAAGACGCACTATGCCACTATGCAAACAAGGAATGCCGTACGACTCTTTCCGAAGCCCCAGTCCCCAGATTTGCTGACTTGTGGCGGGCGGATTCCAGCTGGGCTCGCAGGTCTTTCTCCGTCTCCTCTTAGCATGCCCATGCATTGCAGGGATTTGCAGGGCACACACTTACATGGAGAGCCGTAACATTCACAAGGCATGGCCACGCTGAAATTGATGCAGCCTGCCCTGTGCGCTGGCATTCCCACTCCAAGCAAATAATATGACAAAAACATTTGCCATTGTCTAGCCTGAAGCGCTTCAACATCTGCATGCCACATGCCCACTATTCAGCAGGACCACCTCCCATGAGAAGCGGTCTGATTCTGCCTGAGGGCCACGTAGGCACAACTCGCACTAGGCTGACACATGATGGAACATTCAGGGGTGTACTCTGCTCCACTTCTCTTGAGACGATGACCGGATGTTGCAACAGTCTCCAGACTATCATGCCGCACGCGCCCTCCCTCACGTCAGTGCAACCGTTTTGCTGATGACGTGGTTCTGGCGACGTTAAGCTCAGCCAGCCCACTCAACCATAAGTTGGGTTTGCTCCGCACACGAAGAAAGACTGCCTCGGTGGCCGCGCTGCGAAGCTCAGCTTTCAGCAGCGCAAGCGAAGCCTCCAAGGCCTGGCCCGCACCGCAAATATCTGCAGCAACTTCAAGGGGCTTGGCATGGCTTGGTCCAACTTCGATCATTCTGCCACTTGGCTGAGCACGTGCCCCTAGCTGTGCAGTCAAACCAGGATGAGGGAGCCTTGCCTCTTCAAACCACTAGCAAACCGGAGATTTCTCGTCACTCATTCCGTAACATTCCACAACAATATAAAGTACGCGCGTCAGCTGCCAGCTATGTTTAAGGCTTGTTAGGATCCATGACATCACGCGCAGTAAAGGCCAGCTATAGCGACTACGAAACAAGCCATGTCTGCGTGAATGCGCTATGGGCTTCTGAAGGTGCCTCCCGCTCTTGTGTCCACTGAAGCCTGCAGCAGGCTGGATTCTGAGAAATGCTGGCAAGGCAGGTGGAAGGAGTACTTCGGGATGCCAGCTTTGCGACACAGCCCTGCCTTTGCGACTCCATGGATTTCTTCTGGTCGTCAAGCGACTTGTGGCGCTCAGCAAGAGAGGCTCTCTCCTCGTCCCAGTGCGATCTTGTCTGGGCATGGGCCTTCCGCTCCGCTTCGAGATGGGCAACGGTCTCGTTGAGTCTCGTTTCTAACGCCTTCATCTCAGTCCTCGGTGGCATTGCAGGCTTCAAGCTCGGGGTTCACACATTCACTATGCTCGTCCGGAGGACTTTCTTTCCGAGCGTCTGCAAGGCTTGTATTTGGGCTTGGTACTTTGCCTGTTCTGGTGCAAGGGCCTCTTTCACCAAGGACTCCCAGCTGGCCGTCTGCACCTCAAGAGTTCAAGAGACAAGTTACAATGCAAAGGGGCCTTGGGCTTGGGCACTTGGAGACATTTGGAGACTTGAAATTTGGGCCAGCCTGAGCTGAAGTCGTGATGACTGCCGGTGCTGGCGGTGGACTGAGAGGTGGCAGCTCGGTTTTCGTCCTCAGCTGTCACTCTCTACAAGACATGCTTTTCCTTTGACCCTTTCTGGCTCTTGCAATGTTTTGACTACGACTGAGCTGGTCCTTCGTGCAGCGTTTGCGCAACAAGTCCTTGAACCGAATCAGCGCAAGCCCAAAAGACTTTGAAGCCTAAACACCGCCGCTTTGGCTGCTTCTCCGCCAGCATCCGATCAATCGGGCTCCACTCCTGACAATCTGATGAAGGAGTGCTGCACAACTGCATCAAGCTCAAAGTCCGCAAGCGCTCTGCAGTTGTTGGACACCGTTTTTGTCTTTTGTGGAAGCCTGCCCTGCTATGTTGTTGTGTTTGCACACTGTAGTGTCTCTTCTCGGTTTGCATCAGGAAAAGCAGCCTGAGGTCATACTTCTAGGTCGATCTGCTTCAAGGTTCTGGCATCAAATACATTGCAACCAGTAAAAGTAGAGCTGACCCCAGAATGCACCTATCTGCAGAACTTTGATGGTCGCCCAGCCTTTATTCGTCGCCCTGGGGGTGGCGGGGGGTCGAAGGTGGTGAGGCCGTCGCCCAGCCCGCCCGGCGCCATCCTCCAGCAGTTGCAACTGATGCTGTACCACTGTATGGCCGCTTAGGACATGCAGGCAGAGGACCTCTCCCCAGGCGGTGGCCAGCCCTGCTTTCGAGCCGACCGGCTGCGAAATTCGTACAAACCTTGCTTACGTCTGACTGATTCAATCCAAGCTGCTGGAGTTGCTACAAGACGTCACGCGCATATGTTGTCACACAAAATGGTAGCAGCCTTTTCGTCACCGGTAGCAGATGTAATCCATCGGGCTTTGGCTACCGGTCCGTCGACAACTGGCCGCTCGAAGAACACTGCATCGTAGAGGCCGGGTTTAGTTGACCACCGTGCTAAAAGCATTGTAACATGAAGACGAACCGAACCAGCTGCACAAGACAACTGACATTAGAGCAGGGTGAACTCCTCGGCTCAGTGCTCACACACGTCGCTTCTTCCGTGGCTTGTGTGGATTTCCTTAGCTGCCGGCAATATCTGACTATCCATCTCCGACTTGTTCAATTCGTTTCTCTTCCTGTCGAGCTGCCTATTGGAGTCCGCGGCATGTGGGTCAGCTTGGTAATCTGCAAAACGCTCTTCAACCGTGGGAGGCAACAGTCACTGCAAATGCTCCCAACCTGCCTGCAAACCAACGTTCTGGAATGCCTGGAGGCACGTTTCGACCTCACAAACCACATCACATAACACAATCGGCTAGGGCATGACCAGCCCTTTCACATTACCTGGTTTCCATCAAAGAGCTCGCATCTACTCTTCAACGAACCAGAAGCTCCAATCAGGTTAACAGTCTCAAGCAGCACTGCAAAAATCCAGGTGCCAAGGCCTTCATTAGCCTTCTGAAGTGAACTTCGGCGCAGGTGACACCTTAGTTCCGTCCCAGCCAACTTGTGGCTTTCCAATCCGGGCAGTTACAGTTTCGCAAAGTTCTGAGGTCGAGGCCAAGCCGGCGCAGCTTTTTGGCAATGTTCAAGCCCTCAAAACAGGATGACGGAAAACCATTTTCCATGTTTCCAAAGGCAACGAAACCGTCACACTCAGCCCCTGGCTATCGCATATGTAGCAGCCTCTGACTTTTTCAGTGCCTGCATACCGCAGAGTATCCATGCCATGCAAAGCCAGGCCTCCATGTTTGCACATAATCTTTGATGAAAGGCAAACGCTGCTCAGCTACGCCGCGATAGCCCACATTGCCAGCATGCGATCGGATCACCGTTCTGTGCCGCCAGCCTGGCAGCTCTGCTGACGCAGGACATTATACGGTAAATATTATACTGTAAAAGCCGTTCTGCGCTGAATGTTAGTGACGATGCGTTGCAAGGTTCTTCCGAGGCCTTTTAACTAATCCTTTGTGTAGTTCTGTAAGTCTGAAGAAAGGTCTCTTGGACAGTGACCCCTGTTCGAGCATAACGTTAACAGTACCAATCAGAGGAGATCGATGAGAGGGGCTTCAGGGTGGCCTTGGGACGCTTTTACGAGGCAGGGCAAGGAGTGAAATCTATGTATGATTCCGTGGCATCACTACGCCGTATCCACGACCACCGTTCGACGCAAGCCCACGCAAGGAACCCCTGTCGAGGGCTCCGGTTGAGGGGTCATCACATTGCAGCTGCGAGAGAGGAGCTGGTGCTACTGGCGGTGCTATGCTCTCCTCTGGTCTGAGCGCGGCACTCTTGTTCTTCACAACAACCCAGCAGTTGTTCTTAGATGACCTTAGTACTGAACATCCGAATCTGTTATGAGAAGTTGAGGCATGCGGGAGCCAGCGTCCACTAACAAACAATCACGGAATGTGGTTACCAACTGTGAGGAGCCGGCGTTATCACTATCTCAAAGTTATGCCATGGCCTGGCGCAAGCAAAAACGTTTCTGTTAGCTTCGCCTGCAAATGCCACAGATTGAGGGCAGAACTCGAAAATGCGGCCATACCTATTGCGGTCAACCTTGCTGCAGTTGATGGCAAGAGGAGCAGAATTATAGGGCAAAATGAGGGTGCTTCTGCTGCTGGCGATGACAAGGGCAGAGTTGCGGCGATACACATTTCCAGGTTTGGCTGCTGTGGTGATTGCTGGTGGTGGTACTCCACGCGGCAAGGTTACCTTCTCTTTTTCTGCTTTCTGTTGGTGCTACTGCAGAAGGTGCAGCAGTCTCAGAGCGTGGCGTTGTGAAACTCTGGCCGGCCGCCCATCAGCTTGTACCTGCAGGATGAGTCCATGCTGCTTCCTCCAGTACGAAAGGCACTGGAGGCCGGTGGTGAATCAGGATTGGGTGTTCATTCTTGATGAGGAGGGTTGTTCCGGCCGGCAATTTGGAGGTGAAGAAGGCACAGTCAAGTGCTCCCATGAGCGTAAGACTGCTTGGGCACTTCCGGATGTTGCCAGGGAAGTTGCGCCGCTGGGCTTTGGACAGGTGAATCTGCGCGACCTGCCAGAAGCGAGTGCAGATGCAAGAAGCCCTTCACAATAAATATGCTGCTTGTGCCAGTGACGAAGCTGATCGGGCAAAAGTACAGATGTCACTGTTGAAGCTAACTGCAAACGCTGAAGGCCTGGCCTTCTTCTGTGCCTGCATGGTGGCCTGCAGGCTGTGACATTTCCACGCACTGAGATCTTGGCTTCTTGGACGAGATCAATTTATCTTAGGCACCTCTTAAGCTGCCGCCGTGCACGGCTCTCTGCTGCACTGTACACGAGCCATCAACAATACGCCAATGCGCGTCTTAGACAGCATTGGTCCGAAACTTTGCCTTGATGGAGCCGAGCGCCCTCTCTGCATCCTGCCGCCAAATTTATGAATGTCATGGTAATGGTATGTTGTGCAAGCTGGGATGATCCACAGCCATAGCCCGGTACTTGCGCTTTCCTTGCTGTCCCCTGTTGTATGCAGGACAGGTCCGCGCCTGCGAAAGACTTGGGGCTGCCTCGGCAAATCGCCGAGCCACCAAGGAAGTGGGACCTTCCAAAGTGGTGCAGTCATTGTGCTTAGATGAGGTGAAGGTGTGCTTTGCAGTGAGGGAAGCTTGCTCCATCCCATCCCTTGTTCTTGAGGGCCAGGCCCACCAGCGACAACAGAGGGCGAGGCCGCAGAAATGTTTGCCTCATTGCCGTGGCCCAATTAATTCTGCAATCGCTGTAACAAAACCCACAAAGCAGCTTGACACGGGTCATCTGCTGCACACGCCCCTGAACATGCCTGACGAAGCTTCGACACAAGCTTGATGCCATGGCCAAAGGTCTCCCTCACAGACTGGAGTTCCACATCTTCTGTGAGGTTCTGGGCCCCAAGGAATCCTGAACATCTGCGCCCAAAGCTGACACCCGCTAGGCTGGTGCTGATTCAGGGCAACTTAATCGTGACTGGAGAGTCTGTCAAAAATTGGCTTACGCTTCTTGGATAATTGGCTAGGAGGAGATGTTGTGACATAAGCTGCGAGGCCACTTCTCTAATTCTGCACTGCTGCTAGCTGCGAGTCAGAAGACTGCAGGACGAGCGCTTTTTTAGGTTGCTCACTTGGTGAGAACGGTCTCTACTGAGGAGCTTCAAAGCCTGCATGCTATTCAGCTCTACAGCAGCCCGAAGCAAGGCGCCCACACATCAAATTGAGAGGTTGCAGCATTGCACGTTGGGGGAATTCGCTTGCATTTCTTGTCAATGACACGAGCGAAAGACAACGCCCCAGCAAATGAACTCGTTTTGCACTCTTTGCGCGCGAGCGCTTTGGCTTGGGTGTGCGACCAGTGCTTGGCACGCTCTCGGGAGCAACCTGGCAAGGCACCAGCATTTCTCCTAGCGAGGCATCATAGAAGCCGTTTTTTTTACTCAGCTCTGCAACATTTCCGTCTCTGCAACATTCAGGTCGGCCCACAGAGCGATCTCGCAAAAGTCGAGGATGTCGTGGCTTCTGGCAGAAGTCTTGTGCTTGGAAGTGATTTGAAGCACCGATCCCGCACACATGTTGGCGGAGTCCATAAACGTCCAGTCCTCTTTGACGCATGCCCGGACAGTCCTAGGTACAGCAAAGTCGTCAGCCGGATTGCTGCCTAACTCGCCGACACACCCGTCAGCTGGCCAAGCTGCGCTGGCAGAAATGGTAGCCAGCGATCGCCGCCTAGAGACTGAACTATGCTGTTCATGGTTACTTTTAAGGCAGTCTGCCAACGGCGTTTTTATTTGTTCTGACCAGTACCAAGTTCAGAACATAAATCCTACATCAGCTGCACGAAGCCTGCACTGAGCACACGACAGTCAACTTCCCAAACGAATCCCTCGGCCGGCGAATCCAATGAAGTATACCTGCAAACAAGCACAGGCGCTTATCAACCAGGTGCGAACTTAGAATGTTCGGGAATCAGCCGGCAGCCGAAACGGCACAGCCAATAAATCTGATGCTCTTAGACGAAGAAGGCTCAAGGTCTTCTGCGCTCTTGGCTTCTGAGCAGCAAGCAGGGATATCTCTCCTGTATACCAATTATGGAGCCCAACTATTAAAGCCCCAAGCCCTTACAGCCCTCATCTCGGGGTCCCCGACAAGTGGGCCATACGAGCACCACCATCTCCCAACTCAAGGCCGAGGACCTCAGGTCAACGCAAAAAACTAGATTTCCGGACCGTATTTGAAAGTTCCGACCCATCCCCCCCCAAAACCAGAGCGTCGCAAGTACAACGCAAAGGCAAAAGGATGACCACGAATATCCTTCAAGAAGACCGGGACTGGAACTTTCATGTCCTTGTGGCGGCTCTGGATCCTGATTGCTATCACAGCTGAGGCGGGGGCCCACTTAGAGTCTGCTGCATCACGATACAGAAAGACCTTCCCAGCAGCGGAGTGTTTAAGTCTCGCTGTACCTACTTCTCCGAGCGTTGCAACAGCTCTGTCTCGCCTCTTCGGCATCACCAACCCTCCTGCTGATCGCCCAGTTGCTCAGGGATCTCAGGGTAGCTGCTCAAGGATGACGGCTCGGCTGCCCGCCTTTCCCATGCAGGCAGGTTATTCCACGCTTCTGACCTGAGATTTGATGGCAGAGTTGCAGCACAAATCTAAGCCCAAAGTGACCGTGCTGGGCTTGTGGCCTCAGGATGAGCTTTCCGTTTAGCACCGACAACCTGGTTCACAGAACCAGCATGCTGTTGTTGTTGTTGTTCATACAAAGCGGCTAGATCACCAAGCGCCCAGCGCACCCGGAAACCCACTGACCTCAACCTGAACACGAGCTTGTCTGTTCTTCTGTCCCGCCCTACCAAGATGGGTCCTGATTTGGGAAGGAACTGCAAGCACTGAAAAGGTACGACCCTGCGCGCAGCCTCAGCAGGTGCTCTTCGCAGCCTTGATCCCTTGCCAGGCAGTAGAGGGCACATCCAAGTTTTAGGGGCATGTGCTGTAAACAGCTGCCTTCAACTCAACAGCCTTCTGCCGGATGCGCAGGACCTCGCTCATTGGAGCATGTCTGCCGAAACTCAGGCAAGTCAAAGTCATGGAGGCCGCTTGCCAACTTAGCTGAAGCTTTGGGAACAAAGCAGCACATGATAGCACATGCAACACCCTTTGCGCCTGCGCAAAGGAAGCATCGCTCATGGGCCGCAGTACGACTTCGCCGTCTGGCCGGAGCATGCCGGCCTGGGCACGTGCAGCCGGAGTTGGGCTTGAACAGGATAAAGAAGCAAATGCAAAATGGAGTAGGCCAGCGAGCTTCTGGTAGCCGTGCAACTGCATCAAATCATGCATGCTCGCTCCTTTTAAAACTTGCGGCCGCCAGATTCTGCGCGGAGCTCCCTCATCAGCAGCTTGCACACTCCTCTGTACCACTGGATTCTTGGGTGAGATATGGGGAAGATGTTCACCAAATTTCTGGGATTTGTTCTTGCTGCTGCCGACTCGGAAGACAAACCATTAACAACTTGCCCAATCTTCGGGGCAGACCTTTCCAGCTTCAGGAGCTTTTCTGCTTGTTGACGTTGTTCTTGTAGTCTGGCAGGAACCTCTGACAAGCGCGCGAGAAACAGGGCGTGCGTGGTTGTCCTATGTGAGGTCTGCAAGGCTTCTGCTGTAGTACACATCCCAACACTCACACTCTTATGATCTAGTGAATGCGTGCCAAGCGCCCACTACAAGCCCAAGAAGTCCCTGTGCTGCATTGCTTTAGTTCTCCATCTTCGGACAGGAAACGGAGCAGCCAGGGCAAAGCCATAAGTCATCAAGTTATAGCCTCGGCAACGCAAAGGCTCAATTGCCTCCCTGGCACCATTCTGGCCAGAGATGGCCTTATTTGGGCTCTACTTGGACGCAGGGATGGCAAGCTGCCGCTTGCCACGCTCACGCCAGTTCATTTAAGCGATCTGCCCAACATACCAGTACCAAACACATTGGCAGCCATTCGTCTTATCACTGCTTGGTGGAGATTTGTCAGGAGGCATGCTCTGTTTGCGCTGACAGTTTCACTTGCTCAGAAAGGCCAAGTCGCCCAGGAAATGAACCGCCAACCTGGCACTGGCACTAAGTCACTAGGTTGCACCATCTCTTGCCAGTTTTTATGAGGGCAGTGCATGGCCCCGAATCTTCCTAGATACTGTGCCTCTGAGGGGCATCAGGTTTTGCAAGCCCTGTGGTCTACAAGTAGCTTGCATGCAGTGTGAGATCCTGACACGAACAGCGTCTGACTTTCTTTTCCACGAACGCATCTGCACAAAGTGGTTCGCGAGAGTTAATCATCCTCGTCGTCCTCATCATCCTCATCGTCCAAATCCTCCATGAACTTTTCCAGAACCACGGGCCGCTCTTCTTCAAAGGGCATGCGTCTGCACCTCTTGCATGCTGTACAAACCCAATCAAAGGCAAACAAGAGCTTGCACACATCTTTTCATGAACCAAACTCTCTTTGCACAACGTCGTCTCCTGAGCATGCTGAAGCTCATAGTTTTCAGGAATCTTGCCTTTCCTGTCCATGTTTATGGCTTGCCAAACCATCAGAGCTTGTGAGTTCCTGTGCGAGGCACCCTTGAAGGAGCTCGTCGTCTTCAATGAGATCCGCCTCCCGCAGCCCAACTAAGCAGCCAACCATGGCAATGGCTCCTTCAGATCTTGCATGAAGAATCTATGCAGGTTCACGAACCAAGAAAACTGAAATAGTTACGAAATGGCCTAGGAGATTCAATTAATGCGTCCTTCCGCTTCGCTGGCACTGGTTGCAGTGGCTGCGGACCCTGCTGCTGTCTGCGAGGCGGAGCAAACAACATCTGCAGCCTGAGCAGGCGAATCAAAGCCTTCAAAGGCGGCTAAGTTGTTTAACCTCTTGTGCGCTTCGTTGTGCGTTGGTGAGCGCATGAGTTCAAGAAAATTCTTCCTGTAAACTGTAGACTTTTGGCAAAGCAGGAAATGGCCTGGAAGGGATCACCGATCTCGTCGCCGATCTCGGTAATCCTCGGCATGGGCAAGGCTTGCATCTTGCGGGAGGCAGGCCGCACCCTGCAGCGGGCTATATTGGCTTCAAAGGCTCTTTTTGTAGAGGGCCTTCAAGAGGGGCGCCCATCTGCTGAGTGGCTTTTCCAGCTTCTTGGCAACCGCCATCGGCCTGAGCCGCTGTGTTTATGCAGGTATGGACAACAGAGGCAGCAGTCTCGTTTGTTGTGCCATGGCGCTGTAATCTCTTGTTGCTGGCAGTTGCTTCGCTGATGCAGCTGCCACATGCCTCCTCGAACAGGAGACGCAGAACACAGCCTGTCCCATGCCAGATGGACAAAAGCAATGGACACGTTGATGCAGTTGCTGAAGTCCCAAGGACACTCCATGTCATACCATGGCATCATGCGTCACTTGCTTGACAGGGCAGTCTGCAGGTACCCGCCTAGATGATCGGTAGGTGTCGTGTCCACGTGCCCTTGAAAGCGCACCTGCCCGGGCAAACTGTTCATCAATAGGCAGTGCCAAGCAGTCCCACCACTCTCAACTAGGAACCCTATGTATCATGAGCGCAGTGGGCCAAGCTCGTACGCTTAGCCGATGCCAGGAGCCTGCATGTTGAAGTCTCGCATGGGGTCCTGGCAGGACAAATGCTGCTATGCGGCGGCGATACAATGCGCAGTTGGCCAGCTGAGCCAAGTCCTCCCCAAGCGTGTCTGGCTGCTCGTTCATCCACCGGCGGACAGATGTTGGAAAATCCTGCGCTTGCAAGAGCGGCAAATTGCAGGAGTCATTGGCACAAGTAATTGGTAGCGAAGTTCAGGACGAGTCCTCCACACCATCTTCGTCGAACTCATCGTCGTCCAACTCTACATTCTTTCTCATCTCTAGCATCATTTCACGTGCCTGGCACCCAAAGCCGGTGCACCTCTAGATTCATGGTTTTTCTTCGCTTTCACATCACACGGAAGGCCTGATCCTCGGACAAGCCCTGCAGTTTGAGGTCTGCAAGGAGTTTGTCATCCTGCAAGACGACAGCTACAGTAGCATGCGGCAGACTGGAAGAAAGGGTCTGAACTCTAACTCACTGGTACTCCTCCTTGCCATCCTCTTTAGATGCTTCTTTCACCTCAACACTGCGCGCTGCGTGCGTGACTCTCAGCCATGCCTCCAAAGATTTTGATTGTCAAAGTGACCAATAAAGCCTTGGTTATCGTCACTGCTACCTGTGTCTTTTTAAAAGCCAAACAAAGGCAGAACATCCCACAGCCTGGCTTCCTTGGAGGCCTTCGAATTAACGCTTGCGTGGACTTGCATGGCCTTGCGCTGCGCTTCTTGGATCTGACGACGCTCAGCCTGACATCAATTTGCAGCACAGCCTTTTCCACCCTTTTTTGGAGAGCAGCTGCCCTTATGTTGCAAACGCTTGGATCCCGGCAAGTAGAGCTTCACTGCAGCATCATATTTGTGCATGACTTGACTTCTATTCAAATTCTGATTTCATGAAGCTCTTCCACCCCTTTGGCCTTGGTCAGCTGCTTCTTGGGCTCAGCTTTGGCCTGAGTTTTCGCCTGGGCTCGCCGAGCCTCGTGATAGGCTTTCCGCTCCTCCTCACAAACAATCACGAAAGAACTCTCTCACAAGTATGATGGTGTATGTTGAGCTATATCTTGGCTTCGAGGGTTCGAGCGGGCGAGCACTTCTGGGCCGGAATTTGACATCCATGGCCTTGGAGAGCTTGGCAAGCTGCTCTGGCGTTAGCCTGAATCACTGAAACTTGAAGCAGCATTTTGCAGGGCCCGAGCCAGCACAAACTCAAGAAGGCTCCCAAAATCCAGTCAACATAACACCCTGCGAACCCTTTAATTCAGCACTTCACTGGTGTCCTGTTTGATCCAGCATGTATTTACGGAATGAATTCAATTTCAGACGGAGCCAGTGTCTGCCCAAGGCACTCGGCGACCGGGCTTTGTGTAGATGGCTCTGCCGCCTGTGCATCCGGAGCAGGTGCAGCTTTTGCTGCGACCGGGGCTTGCGCCGCACCGGTGGAAGCAGATGGCCACACGCCGATTTCCTGCGTCTGAAAAGCTGGATCCACCAGCTATCATGCAAGTGCACATGCTGCTACAGTTCTTTTGGCCTGATTCTGGCTGTATGCCAAATTCTTGAAACAACGCGCCGTTTGGGGTGTTCAACATGACAACCTGAAGCCCCTGGATGACTGGAATAGGCAAACTGCTGGCGAATCCTTGTCCTCCAGGTAGCCTACAGTCATGGCACTGGCCATCAAAGAAAGGCCGAATTAAGTGCCCAATCTTAAACAAATCAGTCTGCTTGAGCCAGAACGCCGACAATATACAAGCTGTCGAGGATGCAGCTGAGCAAAAGCGCAGTGCATCGTAATGCAGCGGGGCACCGCATACCAACAGAGGTACCGCCGAGATCAATCATCACCTCATTAGGCAAGACTGCAACGCGTTTGGCTGACTTGCATATCTAATGAACATCTGACGCTTTGAAGGCACCAGCTTTCTAGCAACCTTATCGCACTTCTGAGCCCTGCTTGCTGCTACCTTGTCAAAATAGATCATCGGCATGGCAGCCCTGATGCCTGCAAGCCTTCCAACAACTGGCACTTTTCTGCCAGGTGCTCAACTCTGACCTCTGCCTTTCTGGGGCCCTCTCTTAGCACTGGCTCATGGACGACGAAGATGCCCTGAAACCTCAATCCTTTGCAACAAGTTTACCCAAAGCTCACAGGTCCCCTCTGGCTTGGCAGAATAGGCTAGGCCCAAGACTGGTGACCTTCCAACAGCTGCGAAGATCTGGTTTGGCAGCTCCTATACTCGGCCAAAATGTGCAGTCCAGATTTCCTTTTACCTCGAGGCTTATCTGCAGTGTTCTTTGCAGGTAAGCAGGAGAGGTCATTCATGGTGTCAAGCGGTGACTCCCCCATCACTCCTCTGGGCCTGTGGCCATCTTGTATGCCATGTCGAACCTTGGCAATTTTTCTGATTCTAGAGGTTTGTCCTGAACCTGTTCCTTCTGATCCCATTTCAACTTATACACATGCCGCTGGTAGGCGTCACATGTAAAGTGCGCACGCCGCCAATGAAACCTTTCCTGCCATGTTGGATGAGCTAGGTAACTAGGCTTAGCCGCAAATGCTTCGGTCTCTGCAGGAAAGCTGCATGTTCATCTTGTGAACTTTCACATCATTTCCACCGCCAGCAGTAAATCGAGAATTCACCTTGGCTTCTTCCATAGGCTGCACTACGGAAGTGAATCGGCAAACCAAATTGCGCTGCAGTGCTTCAGGATCCTGATCTGGACTGACAATCTTCAACGATGGCAAAAAACAACTCTCACAAACCAGCACTCCTTGCAAATGTGGAAGCTTACTGGTTGGGCTATGTCGGTTTGGCAGCTGTGGGCCAGTCAAAGTCACACATGTCACATGACATGGGCGCAGCTCAGGCTCTAAACGCCAGAAGTTTAAGTGGCAAAATTGTCCATTAGATTTACTGATTGAAGCAAATGCTTCCGAGTGTTGTTTTGTGTTGCACAAGTGCCGGCAGTTTTTGCTGGTACTCAGCGCCCAAACGGCATAAACGAATGCTACGAGCAAACCCTCAAATCTCCAAAGCAATTCTTTTGGAATCCGGCACATGCAAAATGATGCTATCTTTAAGTGCCATCCCCAAGCATGCACATCTTCCTCGAACCTTCATGCCGCACATGACTATCAAGTCAGTACTCGGTTTACCTGCCATTTTGGCCTTTACTGTTGCTGGTCTGCCAGGTCTCTGGGCTTGGATGGACCGCGTGCACGTCCACGCCTCGTGCTTTGCCCTCCACAGCAAGGCTTGCTGCCAGCTCCTTGATATTTAGCAGTCCAATCTGGTCCAGAAGTAAGCATCCTTAACGCCTAGCGTGACTTGTTTTTGCAAGTGGTTCTGTCCATCTCTGATTTGATAAGGCTGGGCTGATCAAGTATCTTGCTGTAGTTTCTTCAATGATTCAACGCTGCCCCGTTCAGGCTAATCCCTTCCTACATCTACGCTGCTGATCTTGTTTCGTTCTACAACCTCTGAAGCCCTGCCATAGGCTTGGACGTGCCACCTGTGGAATGACACTTGACACTCCCACTATCAATTATGGATTCAAGGAAAATGGACTGGCCCTGGCCTATCTAGTGGTCAAATTTGCAGGCAATAGACTGCAGCTGTCTTTGCAGGCTTTGTCGCTATCAACCATGAAGCCCCAAGGCTTTTCACCTACCTGCTTCCTCGATGGTTGGTGCATTCTTGGTGGCTGCTCTTGCTTGTGTGAGAGACTCGCAGAAGCCCAGGCCATGTTGTCACAGAATGCAAATAGCAAATACTGTCTCCACAGTTCATGCTGGCCAAGGCAAGCCGCTGACAAGCCAGACTTGGTGCAGCCATACCTCATCTAAGCAAGGCACGAAAAACCAGAAAGTGTTGCTCTGATAGGTGGATTTAGCATGATCCGCTCATATGCAGTCTTGACTTTAGGCTTTGAGTTTGGTCGGCTGAACACAAAAGGACGAGAACCTCTTGCTCATTCTTCATCCGGGCAGCATCGCCGCAAACGGGTTTGGAATGAAGCCAGCGGAGGAGGAGGTGAACACAATACACCCCTGGAGGCCCTGCACTGCAGCGAAACAGCAAATCAAGGGCAAAGAGCCGCAATGGCCTTGACATGTTTGCCTGCAACCTTTGCAAGAAGTTGCATGATGCGAGCCTTGCTGATCAATCGGCTGTAGAGGTAGTGGGTGAGGTGGATGTTTGCAGTTAGGTTGCAATGGAAGTTGGCGAGGTGTGTCTCCACTGAGTGCTGCTCGAAAAAGCCTGCCAGGAGTGTCATTATCACAGCAACGAACGCTGCACTTCTTACATGGTTCCAAGTCGTGCATGCAACAGTGCTGCAGAGGTATTGGTCCCCTGTCCTGAGCGGCAGTGCAAGGCTTGAAGACTGACGTGAAACATTAAAGCTAAACAGTCAGAGGTTAGGTTGAAGGCCAGCTCTTGACCAATGTCAACCATCCCCACAATGGGTAACCCACCGGTCTTGGAAGTGCTGTGGCCACTGCTATCTTCTGCTTTTGTGGCCTCTGTCTCCACTACCGGCCACCGCCACCGCCACCGCCGCCGCCCACCACCGCCACTGCCGCCAACTGCCATGGCGTTCCATCCACTCACCACGACTACCATGACTTGTACTTTCAGGGCAATTCGTAAACTAGTGCTGTTCCGTGGAAATTTTATGTAGCCAAATTGCTTCATTCATGTACAAACTCTCTGAACTATTACCATGGCTCATCAATCTTGGCGAGCCTGTGACGATGAAGCCCGCGTTGTTGAAAATCACTTGCACATCGATGTCCTGCATGTGCTCGACACATCACCGAATCGAGAAGGGCACAAGCTAAGCGACAGAGTCCTAGAACAGGGATCCCTTGTACGGAGACTGGCTCACATCTAGCTTGAACCATTGTGGACTCCTGCGTTGCTGCCTTGACATCTTGCATCCAGCTCCCGGAGCTGTCTGACAAATTTGCCTTGGCCGCGCCCATTCTGGCGCATGTCCAGTCCATGACATCTTCTAGCTGAGAAGCCTTGACACTTCGGATCTGCTGCTTGGGGAACTCCTTTTTCAGTTCCTGGTCATAACTATTGCACACCTGATGCTTCCTTGGCTCGCCCCTAAATGAGTATGCCAGACATGCTTGTAATCGGGACGTCGCTGCCAAACAAATGGCCTTCAAGGCTTCCTCAAAGATTGGCTCATCACCTGTTTGGCAAGGCATCTGAAAAGCTGCAGCCCGTACCGTGGCATGCGACAGCCGAGACCACCACGTGCAATGATGACCACGTTGAGCCCTTGTGACAACAATTTGCGCGCCAGCTCCTCAATCACAGCACGTCTGAGTCCGATTGGAACGGCCAGTCAGGATGACTGAGACGGGGTACCGTGCAACTTAGCAGGAACCCGTTTTCTCAACACAAAAATGATTACATGATCGAATTTGCAAGTCACCCTCCAGCCTTGCCAATTCCTGAGGAGCCACCTCATCGGGTAGATGTGATTCATGCGTCTAAACAAAGCAGTGTGCAGGTCACTCTGCGCTGCGAGCTTGCATAGCTGAAGGGTGCCTAGTCAAATTGCTGATCTTGCTGCTAAATGGCCTGTGACGAGTGACCAGCTCGCGCTGTAGCGCTCTTTCAGATTCTGTGGGCCCAGCAGCCTCTCAGTGAGCATGGTGTGTCTATCATGCAAAGTGAAGCCAGCGGCAAACAGGCTCGGCCTGGGAACAAGAGAGTTCAAAATGAGATACCTGCGGGCGCCGCGCTTCATTCACTTGGAATTTGAGCAGCTCTGGGATACTTGGCATTGATATCAAATGCTGCAGCTGAGAGGCAGCACGGGCGATGCGAGCAACAAGGACAGCAGCAGCAAAAACAGCATGGCTGCAAAAGCCCGATCCCCGGTAATTCGAACCTACGCTGCAGGCCGAAATAAGAGAAATTTTGCGGTCTCTGAAAATACCCCAGCGTGTGAGCGGCCCAGGGTTTCAGGATGCAATGCGCACAGGCGCACTGAGCCGAATACCATTCCCGAGGCGACCTGGCATAACCGGCGAGGGATTCTCTCGGGGGTTGACAGTTCTTGGCGCTGCAGAGTAATGATAGTAACCACAATAGTAATAGTAACAATAGTAACAATAAAAATTGAATAGTAACAATAATCACTTCTTAAACCCTAAATAGTAGTTTGTCAACCTTTTTTCAGAGGCTTTTGCGTCTTTATCAAGCCCAGGCCTCCCAGCCTCGGACAGCCGGCAGCACGCAGGCCTCTCGTCAACGGAGCCGTGACTGCTGCTACCACGACCACACTTTTGCTACTCCTACTGCTGATTGCTGCTGCTGATTGCTCCCTGAAGAAGCTTGCTCGATTCCAGCACTCTCCTAGCTTTCCCTCTGGCAGCAAAGCAATTTCAATTGTCGGCCCCTTCTCAGTGCGGGAATGGGGGTTTGGGAAGCTGGCGGCCTCCTTTTTTGCAAGCCTTTCTCTCTAAAGGGGTCACTGTAGAGATGCTCATCATCTGCAGCATGGCAAGGACCTGCTATAGTGCTCCAGCACTGCTTCAAAGCAAGGCTTCGCGTATGAAAGGCCCTTCAGGGACCTCATCACCAAAAGCCCAGGCTAAGCACCCATCATACTTGCAAAGGCGTGATTCAGGGCTTCACACCTCCGAGGGGTCCTCGCCATCGCCTTGTACGATCAGGCGACGTGCCAAAACGCCACCGAGACCACCTCAAACTTGCATTTCTGGGTGACTTCCAGGGCTGCGCAACTCCACATTCCCAAGCAGGTCTTCCAGTGCCTTTCCAGGACCTCTCTAGCTCAGTTGTCACGGACAGACAGGGGCTAGGCAGCATGATGCCAACGAAAAAGGATGACGAAACCGATTTGGCCCCTGACACATCTGAAAGCCAACTTCCAAAATCCTGCTCCCTGCCCTTGCCTTATGATTGCATATTTTCGTCTCTCTGACTGTACCGCTTCTTGGCATTATCAAAGGGACTAGGGCTAGAGCACCACAAAGAATACTCAGTGAGGATGAAGAAAATTCTGGGTGCTATGGCCTTCGCTGCGAAGAAGGCCATCCCCGAGACGAGTGCCCACCGTCCAGGCCTTGGTACCCTCTCTCTCTCTCTCTCCTTCGGGCTCAGCCCTTCGTACCGTATTCACATAATGGTGCTTTCTGTCTTGATGGATGCCTGCTCAAGGCCACCTGCTAAAAGCCGGTTGGTTGCATTCCCGTTGCAGCCTCCAGTCTCACGTCCCGCAAGAAAAAAGGAATGTCTGACTCGTTGGCTGCCAGATATATGTTTACCAGCAATTTACACCACCAACGCCTGCAGGCAACTGGCAAGACACCTACGCATCCTGAGCTGGCGAGAAAACCTACACAGGTTAAGCATTGTTCTTGGGGTAGTGCTGACCGTTGCACAAAACCTTGCCCATCCGAGCTGTCCGCGCCGCTGCTGGTTCCCTTGTAAAGGAAGAGGCGGCGCGCCTTCAGTTTTCTCAGCATTTTTCTGCGAGCAGGCAGCAAAGGCGTTGTGCTTTCTTGAGGGCTGGCTGTCAAAGATTTCCCGGGATGGCCTCTTCCGTCCCTGGCATTGCTGCGGCAGTGCTGACCTGGAGTAGACTGGTTGAGTTGCCAACATTAAGCCTCCACCGAGAGCGGACCATGCTGTTTGCAGCTGTGCTGCCCAGACTGGATGGTCTGCCAGTGCATTCGTCACCTACCAGCATGAAAAAAGTCGACTGCACGTCTATCGTTGAAGATAACGCCAGTTGCCACAAGCACTCAGCATGCTTTTGCATCTTGACTCTTGATGATAGCAGCCCTCATACCATTTCCATTTTTGGAAGTGGATGCGGGCCATCAAGCTGCTCGTTATCCAGCCAACTTGCCAAGCTTGACCAGCCAAGGAGTAAAAGTGAGCACATCTTATGGGGAGGCAGAAGTTGGACCTACTTTTTCCTGCAGATTGCGACTATGAACTGATGTTTGGCACAGAGAGGTGATGTCTGGTCGGCGTGCTGGAAACTATGAGATCGGACATCTTGAGCTTGCTCTGGTAATTGCCCATGCGCACTCCTGGCTGTACATGCTCAGTCTCTGTTGAGGTTTTGTTTACTGCAAAAGGCATCACAAAGATCTTGGCGGTGGAAGGCTAGAATTCCAGGGATCGGTGATGCTACTCGCGGGGAGCTTGGCAAGTGGCAGTGGCTGCGCTAAGCAGTGACATCAGGACTGAAGTGCCATTGCCAGGAATCCTGCCAAATTGCTGCCAGCCAGTTCTTGGTGCTCTTAGCAAAAGGAGAAGTCTGGCAGTGCCAACTGTCAACATCCTATCCTCGAAACAGCTGCTACCATGAATTGAACTGGCAAGGACACCTTCGTCCGCCCTATCAAGCTTTGGGTAGACGTTGCCTTGCCTTCGAAGCGCTGTAACATGTGGCATTTTTGCCGTCTTTTTGGAGTATTCCGGAAGCCCTGCAGCTTTGGTATTTTCCCTTGGCAGTTCCAGTGCTGTCGAAGACCCGGCAGTGCCATGTCTCATCAGCACGTTCTTTGCAGGACGCGGTGCTTGAAGTGGTTGACGGTCAAAGCACTAGGCAATTTTGCAAGTTTTTTTGCTGTGCGTCCCTTCCCCTATCAAGAGAAACGTCTTGCAGCACATCATGCCACGCAATGATTGGCGCATGCCGGATTGTCCAGAATTTGTTGTCAAAAAGCCAGAACCTTTGGCAAATGAGACATTCATTACACTTCGCGCTCTGTGCAATTACGTCGGCTCTTGCTGCCGTGGGAGGACAGCCATCTCTACGCGCGAGATCGCCTGAGTGCACCCGCAAGCTTGCAGCAAGAAGGCTAGAACATGAATGCAACAAGACTGAAATTGTGCAAGCCACCTGCTACCCCTGCTTAATACGGCTTAAAACATGTTGAACTCAAGCCCAAGCTGCATCGGCCATGTCCACAAGAATGGACTGTACATGCCGCAACCTTACAGGTCATGCTTTGCTTCGAAAAGCCTGCAGGAGAAACCCACAGAAGCAAATACGCACTGCCACCCTGTGACAATCAAACGCCTTGCATCGGCAAGTTTCAAGTACCAAAGTTGATGCCCACTAGTAACAAGGTGCATGATCCCACGAAAGTCTAAGATTGCAGCATCAAATCGACACAAACGATGTCGCCTTGGAGGCGCGACAGCTGCAAATTGCCACCATGTTCATCTGCTGTTGAGAATGCAATCTTCGTCTGAATTGAGATACAGCATGTCTCCCCACTGCGGCTCAAACCAAATCTCCGCTCCTCGCCTTCTTGCGCGTGCTAGAAACACTTCAGGGATACTAGCCTTGCATTCTCGATCTGTCTCTTCCATTCTCTGTTTCGAAGAAAAGTGAGAAACCTTTAAGGACTTGGACAGTCCATGAGTCTATATGCATGCACCAGTCTGCATCAAGCACGCAAACTGCGTCAGAATGGCTTCTCCGAGCTTCCCCACGAAGCCTGCCCATGTCAGAGTAGTTGAAAGCAGGAATGCCATCAGCTACAGACCTCAAGTTCCCAGCAGCCACGTGCCTACGAATACCGGCGGCGATGTCCATCACGCCGATGGTGCCGCCATTATCCGGGTCGAAAATGTCTGACAGCCGACCCTGGCAAAGCACATAGATATTCATGACAAAATGCTACCACAAAATGGTGACTCTTGTTTTTAAGCAACTGGATGCTACTGAAGCCCGGCAGCATGATCGAGGGGGTTGATATCCAAATCCATCAGTGCCTGCGCGGCACCGACTTAAGACGCCCTCTTGCGTGGGTTCTCCGAGCCTGCTTGGCTTCCGGATCATAGATGACCTGCTGCACAATGGTTCTATGAGACTGCAAAACTGTCGGCAACAGGCTCCCTTGAGCGCAGCTCCTGGTCAGTATGTTCTTGGGCTGGTAATTTTGTACAATTTGCTCGACTCTGGCTACATCCGCTCCGTTTGTCGTTCCAACAGCCCGCTACCCTTCCCGGATGGGCCCCTTTCCAGCGGGTACCCGTTCCACCAACTTTTGATGCACGGCCTCCCCGATTCCCACTAAGAGATCGGTGTGAAGGGATGAGGTGCAGTGCCCGACAAACTAACAACCTTCACTGGGACCGGAACAGCTTGCAATGTTAAACAAGAACGACAACAAGGATGGCCTGCAAGAAATGGCAGGGGTTGTAAAACACATCCCTAGCTGCTTGACCCGAAAAGTTGTTCTCTGTTCATTTTACTCTTGTTGTTATCAAGTTTTGCGCCTTCTTGTTGTCGTTATGACTTTCTTTTCCTCTTATCCTTTACGAACTAAAACTGAAACTCCACTTTTTTTTTTTTTTTTTTT